TAATCCCTCAAACGTGATGCTCTCTGAACTGTTCCAGATGATCTTCTCACATGAACATTCTAATAAGCAGATGCTATAACACTAGCAGCACATTCCTCTTCCAGCATAATTATTGACTGAGGTGTCTCCTGATTGTTGTTTTTCCACGTCCAGCCAGAGGTTTCATCAATTACAACATCTCTGCTGATATGCTCTTGATTGGTTTCTTGATCCAGTAGTTTGTATCCACCTGTTGAATGAAAACCAATCAAAATCAGTTAAACTCCTTTGTCATCAAGCTTTCTCCGCTCCTGTTCAGGTACATGCTTGAAACAAAGAGAGCCAGAAACTCTCAAATGTGCAACATTCGGCTTTGTCCCTCTTCAGGTGTTACACCTTTAAGCCTATTTGTAGGAGACCTATTAAACAGATATGAGGCTGTTAGTGCAGCCTCTCCCCATAAATAATTTGCTAGACCTTTGCTACTCAACATAGATCTCACCATGTTCAAAAGCGTTCTATTTCTTCTCTCAACTGTACCATTGTGCTGAAGTGTGTATGGGGGTGTGATCTCATGTTCAATTCCAGCAGCTCCATAGAACTCACAGAATTCTGTTGATGTGTATTCTCCACCTCCATCGGTTCTAAGCACTTTTAGTGCCTTTTCACTCTGCCTCTCAACCAAATTTTTAAACTTTTTGAACATCTGTAATGCTTCATTCTTCCTCTTCAGCAAATCTATCCACATCATCCTAGAAAGATCATCAATAAAAGTGATGATATATATGCTCCCACCAGGGGTTTCAACTTGGATAAGACCACAAATATCTGAGTGCACTAATTCCAACTTTTCTGTCACCTTTTGGGGCACAAATTTGCTGAAGCTCCTGGTTTGCTTGCACTGCACACACTCTTTGCACACATCTTCTGAAATTTCCAATTTTGGGAATCCTTCAACCATGTTCTGACTTTCCAGCAGACATAAATCTTTGAAGTTTAGATGACCGAACTAATGATGCCAAATCCATTCAGTTTTGCTTACTGTGGTGGCAAAGTATTGATGTTTCTGTGCACTCATTCCTACACGAAAGATTCTATTATGTGACAGATTTGCCTGAAGGATCAGTTTCTCGTATTGATCAAACACACTTAGGCAATTGTCCTTCATAGTGATGTTAAACCCCTTCTGTAGCAGTTGTCCCAGGCTAAAATGATTAGCCTTCAAACCTGGTACATACAATACGTCCTCCACCATGATTTCTCTTCCATCATCAGCTCTCAAAACTACTTTTCCAATTCCTTCTGCTGATAGGCTGTTGTTATCAACAAATCTAATCTTGCCATGGGATGACTCACTCATCTTCACAAACCAATCTCTCTTACCAATCATGTGTGTTGAACATCCAAAATTAAGATACCAGGATGAGTCATCTGCTACTTCCAAGCTTGTTTTGGCCATCAACATCACTGCCTCTGAACCGGACTCATCTTGTGCAAGATTTGCTTCGTTATTCGGCTTGTTCTTTGCTCCTTCTCCATCCCAACATTCATGAGCAAAGTGCCCCAGCTTTTGACAATTGTAGCACCTTACTTTTTCTTATCAAATTTCCAACTTTTCTCACCAGTGGAATTTGCAGCCCTATGATTCTTTCCCTTCACAGATTCTCCAGAATCATTTTCTTGAGTCTTAATGCCCCTTCAGATTCTTTCCTTCCTTTCTTCACACCTTTATACTTTCCTTTGTAATTTGTTCTAGCCTGCAACGCTTGTTCTTGGCTGAACTTTCTTTCATTCATTCTGTATTCGTGTGTTTATAATGAGTGTTGGAGTGCCTCAATCTCCAATGTTTCTAGATCTTTAGTTTCTTCGATACTTACCACCACATGATCAAATCTTTGAGGGAGATTCCTCAAGATCTTGTTTACCACATGTTCATATGTCACAGTATCATTGCACGCTCTCATAACATTCACCAACTCTTGAATTTTATCAAAATATTCAGCAATGGTCTTGTTCTTTTCCATGGTAAGAAATTCAAACCTCCTGTTGGATTTTAGAATAAAAGCAGTAAGCACGCTTGAAGCTAAAATGCTTCTGTATTATTGACTATAAAATAATGAGAAACTGTTCCAATATTTAAAACTTAAAATAACTACCCCTAACATTTTTATCCTAATTTTAATCCACTACTCTAACCCATAATTAAAAAATTAACTATATCCTAAAAATAAGGAACAAACTTTGACTCAATTAAAATTAAAAATAAAACATTCTTAAAGCATTTTCTTAACACTCCTCATTACTTTAGGAATTGCAAAAGTCCATGAAGTGTCAATCCAGTAAAAAATCTTTGAATCCTGAACTATGAATTCCAGCATAACCCTTCTTGATAATTTCACCGTTGATTTTATTAACACCTTCAGACTCCTTCTCTTCTTCGTTTTCATAGTCAAAAAGGTCTTCCTCGTACGCCACGTTCGAATAACATACTAAATTGTTTCCTAGTTCATCCATGGTCATCCATGATACGATCATGGCCCTTTCCACATGGTCACCTATTGTTATATGAACCTGTTGAGGAGCATTATAGCTAGATGGGGTAGCAAATACATCACTTTGTAGAAGCATGTCCTCAATCCTATTGACCTTCCTGATGAATGAAATTGTTTTGCCTCCATGGCAAACCACAACCACATTGAGAAGGATCAAAACCAATGTTGCAACCATTGCTACAAAATAAGAGAAACTTTTTGCACCCAACATATGATGAGGATGTCTTTTGTGCCAGATTTCTTTAACATTTTCCTTGAGTGAGAATACAATTTACTCCTCGTGCAATGGTTTTAGAGCAAAGTTTTTCCCTTTCATTTTCACCTTGAACATATATTGACCAACTGCATCTTTAATCAAGCAATTTTTGTCTTCAAAAATAACTTTAAATCCTCTTTCAATCAATTGACCAACACTTAACAAATTTTGGTCAATTTCTGGAACGAAAAGAACGTATGGAATAAATTTTGTGCCTGCACAGCTTGTAATTGCAAATGTCCCTTTCCTTTAACTGAGATATAATCACCATTGTCTATTCTGACTTTGGTGACATTAGTTGGTTTCACATCTTTAAAGAGTGCCTTGTCAAAGGTCATGTGGTTAGTACAACCACTATCAATTAGCCAAGATTCACTTGAAGCATTGGTTGAAAAACAGGTTGTAACAAAAAGTTGATCTTCCTTCTCTTCATTTGCAATTTGAGCATCTTCTTCGTGCTACTGATTTTGGTTCTTGCATATGACAGCTTCATGCCCGAGTTGATTGCACGTGTTGCATTTAGTGTCAGGCCTTCTCCAACACTTGAATGGAGGATGAACCATCTTGTTGCAATGCTTGCAAGGAGGATACTTTCCCTTGGAGCTTCATGCTTTGCTTTCATTTCTCACAACACCTTCTCTATTTGGTTGTTGGTTCCTTTTTTTTTGTTTTTCCAATTGTCTTCATGTTTAGGAGGCAAGGCTTCTTCAAGAAATCCTTCTTCTCTCGTAACCCTTCGTTGTTCTTGTGCCTGTAAGGAATTCAACAACTTTGCCAAGGTGATCTTGGTAAAATCCTTAGTGTTTTCTAAGGTGGTTATGGTAGTGTTACGTACCTGTAAACTAGCCAAATACAACCTTTCACTCTCTCTCACACGTAATAGAACAATAAACAAATAACAATGGATGAATGGATCTCTTTTATTGATGGTAATATATCAATAAACAAGGGTAAACAATAATTGGGAGCATAACCTCCTTCAATTACTTTGAGAGCATAACCTCCCTCACAAGACAATAATATATGTTACAAAACTCAATAATCAAAAGCTTCTTTTTAAACCTGGACTCTAACCTTATTTATATTAATTATTTCCCGTCCATCTCTTATTAAATATTCATCTAGAATATATCTGCATTTAATATAAATATCCTTATATTTAATATTTAATATAAATATCCCTATATTTAATATAAATATCTCTCCGTATATTATCCTAGCATATATCCTTAATTATAAATATCTTATATTGAATATTTCCCTAAATATATATTTATTTACTCTAATTAACATATACTATATTTATTTACTCTAATTAACTTATACTATATTTATTTACTCTAATTAACTTATACTAAATATTCTCTATGCTCATATACTTTCCAACCCTTATTATTACCCCTACCTTAGATCGTAACATGTAGCTTCAAATCTTTTAGGTATGATAACTAGAATTTTTTCAACAATACGAGAGTTCTTAAATTCAGAACCAAACAATCTTATTATGTTTGCTACGTTTAGAAGCTTTTCAGAGTACTCCTTAATAGTTTCAGATTCCTTCATCTTCTGCAATTCAAACTTTCTAACGAGATTCAACACCTTCATGCCTTTAATTCGATCATCTCCATCATATTCTTCTTTGAGATAATCCCATATTCTTCTCTCGTAGCCATTTAACAATGGTCTTGTTCTCTTCCATGGTAAGAAATTCAAACCCTCCTGTTGGATTTTAGAATAAAAGTAGTAAGCACGCTTGAAGCTAAAATGCTTTTGTATTATTCACTATAAAATAATGAGAAACTGTTCCAATATTTAAAACTTAAAAAGTAACTACCCACTAACTTTTTATCCTAATTTTAATTCACTACTCTAACCCATAATTAAAAAATTAACTAAATCATAAAAATAAACAATAGACTTTGACTCAATTAAAATTAAAAATAAAATATTCCTAAAACATTTTCTTAACACCTCCTTCTCAATGTTTGCAGCTTAACTTGTTCTTGTCTCCATCACCATATCTTTATCAACATTTCCCACACTTCTTTGGCAGTAGCAGCCTTAAAAATCTTATTAAAGATCTTTGAATTCACACACTGATATGTCGGAAACCTTGCTTTGATTTCCAGTTTCTGCTACAACTTATAATTATTTTTCTCTTCATCAGTTACCTTGCTGGTTCCACAAGACCACACTCTATCACCTTTGCCACGTCCTGGAAGCCAAAGATTGTCAACGTCTTGATCTTCCAATCATCAAACAACTCCCCTTCAAGATTGGTAGCACACCTTGTACAATACTCCCAGTTCCAGCCATATTCTTGAATCTTTTCTTAAATCACTGCCCAGCATAAGGTTCTCCTTTCGTTCTTGATATCACAAGAAACTCTCCCTTTTGAAGAAACTCTCACACACTACTTCTCTGTTGCGGTACAGTGGTTTCAAGATACACAGAAACTGGGTTCTCTGTTTCTCACACACATAGGGTCTAGATGAACCTAGCTCTTGATACCATGTTGTAAAAAGAACAAGGTGGACACACAAACATACAGAAAAAGGGTTCTGTTATTCAACACTGTACAAAAAGAATAACAAAAGTATTTATATAGCTTAGTTCACACAAAACAGGAAAAGGAAAGTTAATGAAACAGTACAAACAATTTTAACTGATAAAACTGTCAAAACATCTTTGACTTAAACTTCTAACAAAAGTCTCTTCAAAAATTATATCTTTAATCAACATTAAACTTTTCTTGGGTTTTGATTCCATAACCTAAAAGACTTGTGAAGGTTTTGTGTTTTCTGTTATTTATACTTTTGTTTCGTTCAAAAATTATTTGTGTTTTCTGTTTCGAAGAAGCGAAGCGAGCCTAGAATAGCAGCCTATTACATTACGTTTTTTTAGGGATTGATTTTAAGGGGTGAATGATTATAATTTATGGTGAATCCTTTGCATTTGTTTATTTTTTTTTTTCATTTGAAGCCTTTCGTTTATTTGAAAACCAATGTTCATGTTTATATGGACTAATTGTTTAAATTTTTGAAACTTGTTTCGGTTGTTAGGTGAAGAAATATATGTTAAGTTACTTCACTTTCCTTAACTTATTTCTCTCTCTTAAGATTTTATTGAGTTTTCTTCTTTAACATTGGGATCCAAGTAGATGAACACTTATAAAAGACATTCCAACACTAAAATCAGTTGTACTATAATTGAATATATTGTACGTGTTAAAAATTGAATTAACATTTGACAAGTGTTTGGCGTTGTTGTCAAGGTTTTTTCCAAGATAATCCCGTAACTATAATCAGTTTTGAATTTGTTTGTAAATTTGTGCATAGCTGTCACAATTTTAGATTTAATTAAAATTACTTTGTTGTGCTCACTTGATCTCGAATTGTTTTAGGTATAATTAAAATTAATATATATGTAATATTGCAAACACT